GTATATCAAAGCTATCTTCAAATTACTAATTTCTATGTGGATAAAGATATTAACTCACCGACTCGATGTTCTTTTTTACTGAATAAGTCAATGACTATTTCGGTTTCAAAAAAATGAAAATAAATACAATAACCCAACGTTTTCAAACATAGAGCTATTAGTATTTTACTTTTCAATTTTTGAAACATTAAAATAAACGAACAATATGCTTCGTACTAAAGACAACCACACCAATAATAAAAATTTTAAGATGTGTTTATAGACATACAGATTACAAGTCAAAATATGCAATTATCAATTCAAATGAATAACTATTTAGGATCACTTTGAATACTATATAAAGTTTTGTTCTCCTTATCTTAGAAAACACATTGACGTATTGGAAAGTTTTTCATAGCAGTGTTACTAGGATGATTCCGGAGATGGAAGGGTTATCTTAAAGGGTTAGGTTAATACGTTTTAGTTTCTTTACATGAAAGAAAAGTAAGAGGTGATCGTGAGCGTACAGAAGTTCACAAAATTGTCTGGTGGATCGATAGGATAGAGGCCTGTGATTTCTTTGTGCTATATTCTGAAACCTGAAGACAATTATACGGGAGGACACACGTTTAAAATCAACAACAAAAACAAAAAAGAAGGCTATACTCCAGTTAAGACAATTTTATTTTTCAAACAGAGTGATTTGCTTATGGAATGAGTTATCTTTGGCAGTAATGGAGAGTAGCGGTTTAGAGGAGTTCGTGAGGAATTGATGAAAAATAAATGATGAGTTTAGATTTTTATTTTCTCAAGGGTAGGTGTGCAAGGACAGCCTTGAATAATCAAACGGTGTCCATTGTAGTCCATTTTAAAGTTTCCTCCTGGACTATAATCAAGGAAGTGATGAATTCTTGACGAAACTGTAAGCATGTAATGTTAGACATGAATTGTTTTTTTTTTTTACTGGTAATAAATTATATTTAATGCAATTATGACATTTGAAGTTTGATTCATTAATGTGCACTCTATTCAAACAAAGTGTCTTATTTTCTGAGTAAAAATAGGCACAGTCTGAAGAATAGAGGTCATGGTTATTAAAAAATTAACGACCTCTGGCTTGTTACATTTTGGTCAATGTAAAACATTATATACTTACTAAATATAATTAGATTACGCTTGGGTGTTTTATTTTAACAATAATTATAATGATAGCTGTTGCGATTTTATTAACAAAATACTATAATAATACTATATATTGTTTTAAGTTAACAATAGAACTATAATAATTAGAGAAAAATATCATGATTTTGATTGGTTGTGGTTAAACCCAAAGTCACATAATATGCTGCCAATGTTCTTCCCACCATGGGTATCGAAATCCCAACATTTTGAATACAAATTTTATCAAGTCATGTTGCGTAAAACATATCTCCTTTTTTTTTCTAAACATAGTTAAATAACATTGAAACAAACACTGCAAGAAGACATGAATATATTTTCAAAATTAAACACTGACAAAAAAAAAAAAAAAAGAAAGAGAAAGAGAGAGAGAGAGAAAGTAACTGTGTGTAAAAACTGAAAATAAAGCCTGTTCCCGAACGAAAGCGTTTGAATAAATACAACACAGTAATCTGAAGAATAATAGGTGCACTAGGATGGAGCCTTTTTTACCTTACATTAATGGTTTTTGTTTTGAGTTTCGCGCAAAGCTACACGAGGGCTATCTGTGCTAGCCATCCTTAATTTAGCAGCGAAAGACTAGAGGGAAGGCTGCTAGTCATCACCACCCAACGCTAATTCTTGGGCTACTCTTTTACCAACGAATAGCGGGATTGACCGTGACATTATAACGTCCCCACGGCTGAAAGGGCGAGCATGTTTGGTGGGATGGGGATTCGAACCCGCGACCCTCAAGTTGCGAGTTGAGCTCCCTAACCATCTGGCCATGCCGAGCCCTTACATTACTGACCATAGCATTTATGCGATTAAAAGATGAATGTTGAAATTTACTTAAGTTAATGAAGAATTAGTACATATCATTTTTGTTGGTAAACACATAAACAACTTAAAATTTCTCAACCACAACTGTGTCTGTCGTATCTCAGCCGGCCTGATGAGCATTGGTATTTGGCGAAGAGCCTTGTCGGCACTGGATATGGTGGGTGTAGTGTGGTTGGCATATTTGTATACATTTTTCCTTTTACTCTTAAGCTCTTATAATCGAAATTTAAAACTGGGACAGTAGTTATAACTGACAGTTCGTATTGTATTATTATTTGCTGCTTGAATTTTCATATTATGACAGCGTTTCTGCGTTACAAGTTACATTACAATACGAATATATTTCAGATCTAATCCTAAAATACATGAAAATATAAAACAAATTCATATAAAAAATTTTACTTACCCAGTTGCTTATGTACGATTCTTCACAAAGCTATGTCGTCAAATTCAAAATACCAGTGACTTATGATTAAAGATATTTAATTTACAACGTGTGTAGGCCTAGCTACCCCAAAGTTAGTGGCAGTTAGCAATGCCCATGAATGTTCTATTTACATTTGCTTAGTTTTTGTTACCTTTTTGCTTTATTTTTGCTACATCAAAAGAAAATAGCGATTGCATATAGTATTTGACTTGCGTATTAGTCACGTTTATGTACCGCAGTTTCGAAGGTTATAGCTTAGAGAAAACATCCATTATGGCGGGTTGGCAAAGTGCCAAGTGTAGGCGCAGAGAACATAAATGTTGGAATGAGGTAGCTCTTGGGTATTTAGAATAACCAATCAACTTCTTCCTTTCTCCGCGCCTTATCTGCAGCGGTATTAGCTTCCTGCGAAAGCCGGAATACACGGCTTCCATCGCTGCTACGTGTTTGACTTGAATACGAACGTAGTGCGCTGTTTAACGAAACAAGTGGCAATTTCTTAGGAACTTATATTCCTTGAGGATTTTTTCTTAATTATATTAGAAGAAATAAAAGGTAAGGACTTGTTTATCAAATAATAAATAAATTATCTGAAAGATTTTTGTGATAAGGGAGTTAGCATTGTGAAAAATAACGAAAACGAATATCAACTGTAAAGACTAAAGTGTTTTGTTTACTTGCTTAAGCCTTCAAGGTTGTGGTATAAGATTGCGATAACTCTAGTTTCAAAGGGAAGAAAACCACATACTTAATTGCTTTTTCATATTGATGTCTAAGTTTTAGGGAACATGGGAAAATTGTTGTCATGAGAAGACATGAACCAGTTCAGTCAAAATTTCTTTCAAAGATTAACACGTACGTCGTTCTGCAGTTTTATATGCTATACTCTTACAGTTAGGTCGGACTGCCAGACGCAGAACAAATCAAATAACTTCGGTAGTGAAACTTGTGTTATTAAAAAGCTAAAGCTTTCTGGCCACAGTTACCTGTAATGTGATAGTAGTTTCGTAAGAAAGATACTCCTTGTGTTTGGAGTTGTTTATATCTAACTTTTTACAGTAATTGTAAAGTTAATTTTAACTGCTAGTACTGTTCAAAACCTTTTAGATTGCACCGTCTTGTTCCTTGCTAACACTAACAGAAACTGAGATAGTAGTAACAGTAAAATTAACTTGTGGTGTGAAATTGAATTGAACTTGGCAAAATATGGAATTATATTGGATAATGTGAGTTACTGTGTTATGAGTAACATTGTACTTGCCGTATTTTTAAAATCCGTTATAGTGGGGAATTGTTAGGTAAAGATCATAACTTAGAGCTTGGAACGGGTATACATACCATTGTGGTGAGTCAGGAAAAGAAAACTTGTAAAACGTTGTAATACTCTTATTTGTATACTTCTGAATTATTATGTTTCAGTTCAGTTTTCTTACTGATTGTGAGAAGTACGTTACTTTTTAAACACTCGTATTTTTAACACAGTTTTGATATTTGTTTTTCTTAATAAAATGAGACAAATTTATTTTTGATCTGAAAGATTAGAATAAGTGTGGATTAAACAAATAGTTGTTTTTCTGAAATAAAAAGATAGTTCAGTATTTCTGGAAATTGGTGAGTTTGTAGGCTCACAATTAACACAACAATTTTCTTTTTCTTGACAGACTCGTTTTACTTAATTATAACAGTGGCCAGGAATGACTGTGTTGCTTGATACAGTCTTACAATCACAATTTATATAACTGGACAAGTTAGATTTTTATGATTTTATTTTTACTAAGGAGATGTGGTAAGGTTATTGTTTTAAAGTAAACTGTATGAAACATAAAGCTGTAGTCTAACAATAAAACGCCACCCAGTGGCTCAGCAGCAAGTGTAATGGCTTATAACACTAAAAACCGGATTTCCATACCTGTGGTGGTCACAGCACAGATAGTCTACTGTGTAGCTTTGCGCTTAGCAACAACTAAAATAACAATGAAATGTAATTTCCGACTGTTCTAGTGGTAGTTATAGTATATATATATATAATTAAACTGATGTACTTGTAATTAAAAAAGAAGTGTTTGGCAGCAATACAAAGCAGTTGTATATAGAAATATCATTAGATGTGTAATACTATGCTCCCAAACATTACAGTTGAAATAAATTTTTCGTCCTATACCCTTTTTAGTGTGGTAATATATCAATTATCATTAATGCTATTATCCTCCCACAGGTATGACTTATTTTTTTTAGTAAAAGAGACAAACTAATAAAGGTTCCACACCAACAAACCAACAGATTGCGTTAAGGGGAATGCACTTCAACCGATATGATACAGGCAGGATATGGGCTAAGAAAACAAACCCACATGTTCATTGTGATCGTCAGGGTTTGAAGTTCTATTTACGAATCCTCCCTTCGTTTGATTCAATAGTTAGAAAGGTTTATACGTTGTTGTGTTATATATTTGAACATTTATATTTTGTTGTTACCATAAATAATATCATTTTGGAAGTCTACTATGTTCACATAGAAAAGTACTGGACTATTGACATTCAAACAATTTAAACAACACCAAACACTGTAAAAAAGAAAAAGCGGCTTGTAGTACATGTTTTCATTATGTTTGATTAATATGATAATTTTGAACCATAAATTTATTTCAGAATATAATTAACACTAGCATAACTTTCCAAAAGCTAAACTAGGAATGTTTCAGGTTTATTAAAATAAGATTAGGAAATGTGACAAATATAATGATAGTTTTAAAGATCAGCAAATGTGAAAAAAATGATTTTAATAAAGTTACTTTGTGCAGTCTTAATTTGTCCATTTGTTGACATGATATTGTTGGCTTTTTTTCAGCAATACAATTGAAATTAATTTACCTGGACTGTTTACAGTGTAACGAAACAATTATCCTTTAGTGAATACAAGATATTTTTTCTTTGTGCAAATGTTACAGTGTATCAAACAAAGTATTTTCAATAGATGGATATATTAGACCAAAATCCTAGAGTATTCCAGAATGTATTTGAAGTAAAGTAACTAAATGTGCATAATTATCTGCTGGGGTTTTTATTTTCTCTGTATATAGTTTATTCAGCGCGTAAAAAATAATTTAAAAAGTTGTCAGCGACAGGATTCTACTGTTGAATACAAAAAACGTTCTTTCAATTATCGCATATTTTTTCACGTGAAGAGGCAAACGTGATGTGGCTCGCGGCAGAATACAGTGGGATTTTACCGTATTTCACAATCATGCTGCTGTTAGTTGTTTTCCATGATATACAAGGTTCTTAGTGTATTTAACTTTCTGTTAACAATTATCGTGTAAAAAAAATAACTTTGGAAGATACTTAAGTTTGCACAAAGTTATCCAATACATAAAAACAAATTCAGTTAGTATATTAAGATTTGTTCCTTACTATTATTATAATTCTTATTAAACTGTTGCTAAATAAATCACCTGGCAACACTTTATCAGTTGCTAGGTTGGTAGAGGTTGGAGACTTGGTAACACGGATTAGAAACATCAACCAAATTTGTAAGAGTCATTTTGAAAACAAGTTATAGTTTGCTATTGTTAACTTTGTGACATGCGGTCTGTCTTGATGTTTTAATGCACAAAATACAGGAGATATATAAAATAAATCACATTTTAATTCTTATTTCCCATGTATAAATAAGTATTTGAAAATCACCATCTCATAGTTCTTAAATCTGATTACAATATAAGTAATGCTACCCAACATGACGTTTTTCTAACAGGTACTTGTTTTATTTTGATGATAATATTGTTATGAAATTAAAACAGTTCTTGTTTACTAGAATGAAGAAATAACTTCATTATTTTATTTTAACTCCCCAGTTATTATTTAATTTCTCCCAACAGTGAGCTATTTCACAAGGCTGCTATATTCATTAATGAATTAATGTCTTAATTAGTTTATTGGGTAAGAACTTCATATTGCTATGAAGTGAAACAGAAATAGGTTTTGTTAAAATAATATAAATGTTCAGTAATCGGTTATTTATATTTTTAGTTTATTTAAAACTTTTATTCATTGTATATGTTTTTAATTTAAGAATATAAGGAAATTTGAGACATATAAAACCAATCTCTGAAATATTTGCGAATGAAATATAGTAAACGAGATTGAATTTCTCTGGATTTTGAAGGATTTGTGAAGTAGCATCAGTTTCAGGACTGATTATTCTGGGGATTCACATGACTTTGATATGGCTTTATTAACTTCACAATTTTTATATCATGTTGGATACTGAGTACCTTTTAAATCTTGCATATCATGCAAATATAAATAACCATTGTGTTTCTATGTTCTGAATCCACCGCTTAGTAGGTCTTGGACCTGACGGCGACTGTCGCTGAGTTGCTATCAATGTCTGACCGAAGTCCCAACGTTGTGTCTCGGCTGTTGAATGATCCTTGCTCGGCTCGTGATGCATGTACTGCCGACAGTCGACTTGATAACAATATGCTTTTGATAATCATCCGATGGAGCATATGGCAGTCATGCCCCCCCCCCCTTTTTTTGTTTATTTGTTTTTTCTACATTTTTAATAATAACTATAAAAGCACGTTTTCAAGCATCTACAGTGTAGCTCATGTAAATATAATTTTATGTTTTGATTGCATTAAGAAGTCTAACATTGTATTTTAATGACCTGCAGTAAAAAAAAAGTGTTTCAGTAAAACAAACTCCGTTTTAAATAATATTCTTTTGCTGTTCTAAAAAATTAAATTATTGATATGCACTTCTCAAAACTATTATAATCAAGACATATTTTGAGTGATTAAATGTTATTTGATTTATTTTGTGGCATTAGCTTTACAGATGCAACAATGCTAAACAAACATAAAATATCTTGTTTTTAGTCGTCATCTTTAAATTGTGAAATTTTAACGTAATAATTTATTTCAACGTCAGTATTATGTATAAAAACTGATTCCTTTAAATGTGATGAGATGTTTTCAACCTACAACCATCAGGAGTGTTTGTCAGTTCACATTTCTTTAAGCATACTTAGTTCTCTGTTAGAATTTCCACTTTTCCACTTAAAAATCAACAAATTAGCAGAAATGTGAATGCTTGACTGTAAGCTTCATTTTGGAAGGCTCAACAGACTTCATACAAAAATATGACATAGTGGAAATGCTTAACTGGAAGGCCCAACAGACTTTAGACCAAAAATATGACATGCTGGAAATGCTAACTGGAAGGCTCAACAAGTCTCATACAAAAGCATGGCATGGTGGAAATGCTTAACTGGTAGGCTAAATAGGCATCAAACAAACACAAG